TAATAATTTTATCACTCTGACATCTTAAATTTCTTCATGTTTTATAATAATATTCTCATAAGTTATTGAATTTCAGAAGATTTGAATCTGAAAATTTTAATTCCTATAGAAAAACAATAATGATAAAATATCTGACAAACAATCCGATCAAAAGTTAGTCCAATGTCATAATTTCGTATTTTAAAAGAGAAGGTTCCATTAAATTTTTTTATTCCTTTCGGTAGAAGCCGAAGGAATTTCATTTTCTACACATTTTTGTCAATAATAAATGATTTAAGTGACATAACCTAAAACTTAAAAAATGTTTCTTATTGACAGAAAATTCTAATTTTTATTCAAATGCAACTTTCAATCATTTTAAATGTTCAAAATCAAATTCTTCATCTTTCTACAAAAACGAATTAAAAATTTTATTTAGTCTTTTTTCTTTTACATTACGAAATTCTGACATTGGACTAACTTTTGTTTTGAGTACATGTCAGATTCTTTCTTAATATTATAGATTATTAATATAGATTCTAAAAAGAATTTGTTTTAAACAACCAACTAATGCTTTTCTATACAGTTAATCAAACATTTATTTTAGTTCAACTAAAAAATTCCTTCCGATAACCAAATTATTTTTTCGACTACAAAATTTATTAAACTGAACCAAATGTTTATTTGAAGTAAATATTTATTTTTATCAATTAATCAATAGTTAATTAATAAAAAAATAATTATTTTTTTATTAAAGTTTTTTTTTTATTAAGTTTTAACATTTTAAACAATTTGTTTTAAAACAAACTCTAGAAATTAGAATTTTATTGTAAAGCAGCATTTAATTGTTTAAAATGCTAAAACTTTAATTGTTGCTTCTCTTAATAAAAAAATGCATTTAAAATTCTTTTTTTATTCAACAATGCAAAAATTATAGCGTGATTTTTGTTTGAGTGTCGGTTAAATTCTTCTTTAAATTGAATAAAGATTTTTCAAACACAAAATATATATAATGCTTCTGTGAGAAGAAAGTGGGGAAAAAATCAAATGAAAAGTAGAGTATTTGGATATATAGTTCCTCGTGACCTTTTTTCCTCTGGCTATTTTTCAAAGCTCCTCTTTAAGATTGTTTCGTCGATTGTAAGCGAATGGAAGTAACCTCATTTCTCTTATCCTTAACCCTGCATCTTCATTTGTAATCTGACCTTCAACCCTTGTCCCTTCGATTCTCCATTTTAGGTTCACTTTTCATATCTTCTTTTTTTATTTTTTTTTCTTCTTCTACCAACTGTTATAACGTTGGCCCGCTTTTTCTGTTTCTCCTCCAGGGATGAATCTCTTTTGATAAGTGACCCAGATAAACCGAACAATTGGTGATCATTAATTATAAGAAAGACTCCCCTGGAGGAGAATTACAGTGACGATAGTTTTACGAGAGTTTTTAAACTTTATAATCTCAATTTGAAACGTTCTGCTCTATAAAAATATAATCTGATTTGCTCTGACATTAATAAGAGTGACGATCGGTTGATATACAATGAAGTAGAAAAAATATATATATATATATATATATAAAATCTGAGAAAAAAAACACAAATATAAGTAGACTGAAAAAATGTTTTTTCTTTGATGATGATAATATCATTCATTCCGGTGCTTTGATCTCTTTTAATGGTCGACTTGATTTAAGATTCGATTTCTCTCTCTCTCTTTATTTCATGAATCAAGGAAGGAAGTAGTTTATTGGATGATTAAATCAAATTTAGGAAGGTGATTCTTTGTAATAAAAAAAAACTTTATTGAGTGTATGTCTCTCATGCAAAAATCTCAATTCTCAAGTTCTCTTTAGTTTCTGCTTGACATAGTTTTTTTCATGATATAATTTTTTCAAAAGCGACCTATTGATTATCAGGAATATCAAAAGCAAAGCGAATTTTTCATTTATAGATTATTTTTACGTCATATAATTGAAATATATTGGATTTTTCGTTGCTTTTTTTTGCACTTGAATTTATAAAAATAAGTTAACATTTTTTTATTATTGCTTTTTCTGCGTTATAAAAATATTGTAAAAAAAAACTTGAAGGATTTAAGTTAATAAAGTTTTAATAACATCATTAAAAACTCTAATTTTTACCATTCGCTGAAAATACTTATATGAAACATTTTGTAAAAATTCACAATTTTGTAACGTTAATAGAATATGAATTTATCATTCGGTAATGAAATATTAAGGTAAAAGATGTTAAAAATTTTCCGAATCATATGCACAAATAAATAAATCTCTTGATAAGCTCGGATTGATTCGGAAAATTGTTAACTTCTTTCACCTTAATATTTAAAGTTAGTTGTTGATTAATTTTTTGTTTCCTAAATTTTTAAAAAAATTGCTTTTTAAATATTTTTAATTTTAATATTAATGAATTGAAAATCATTGAATTTTTGCAAAGAATCTTATAAAAAAAGAATAATAATTGAATAATTTTGAGAATTGAGAATAATTGAATTCCTTTGAAGAATTTTTTTATTTATGAATATAATTGAATTCTCGATAAGATTTTTATTAAAATTTTTAAAAATTCTTACTTTTAAAGAATTTTTTCGAATTTTTTTTTAAATGGAGTTTCTTTAATAATTTTACTTAAAAATTTTGAAATCAATTGAATTTTATAAAGAAGAATTTTATTAAAATTGTATTGAAAATAATTCAATTCCTGAGAAGCATTTTATTATTTATAAAAAATAATTTAATTCCTGCAAAGAATTTTAGTATATTTATAAAATATACTAAATATATTTTCAAATTTTACTATTTATAAAAATATAAAATTGAATTGTTTCGAAGGATTTATTAAGATTTTAGAAAATAATTTGAAAATAAATTTTGTAATTTGCATAACAATAATAAAATGAACGTCACGATTCGCGCGTAACATTTACTATGTTTTAAGAACTAATTTTAAGAAACACTAAATTATTCAATAAATTATTTATTTTTTTATTTAAATAATTGAATTCTAGTAGAATTTTCTAAAAAAAAATAATTTGGAAATTAATTTCAGTTAAAATTTTTGATAATTGAATATTTAAAGCAATATAGCGTGAATTTTTAAAAATAATTCAATTTTGAAATTAACATTTTCATTTTAATATAAAACCAGCAACAATTCGCGAGCTAAAGCGCGCGGCTAACTTTTTACTTACTTTTTTTCAATAAAAGTAGCAACTTTAAAAATAATAGAATTTACAAAATTTTTAACTCAAATTTCTGTTGAAAACACTATAAAAATTGATTCTTGCAGAAATTATAATTAATTGCAGAAATTCAATTATTTTCAAAATTAATAAAATTCAATTGTGTTCAAAATTTAAAAAAAATACTCGTCAAAATCCCAATTATCTTTATCAAGAACAAAATTCTTCCCCAAAGTTCAATTATTTTCAAAAATGTCAATAAAATTCTTGTCCTAAATTCAATTATTTTCAAAAATTTTTTTCATTTTAATTATCTTTTATAACTTTATAAGTTGTTTAATTTAAAAAAGGTTTGATTTTGAAATTTTTGAATATTTTAATTCCTGTGGAAAAATAATAATAATTAAATATTTATTTAAAAAAAAAAGTTTTTGATGTTTTCGAATAATTTTACAATATGAAAAAATTCGTAAATCAATGTAACATAACATTTTTTTGAGTAAAATTTTTTCCTTTATTTTCTAAAAATACAAAAATTTTCAATTTAATTTTCAATGAGAATTTGTAATTGACAAATAGAATTGATAAACTTTTTTTCTTTTATTTATAAAAAACTTTGAATTTTATTAAAACAATTGTAATTAAGAAATAAAAATTAGGCATAAAATGGGTTTATTTACTTTTTCTTAATCATAATTCTTTAACAATTAACAATTTTATATTTTTTATAAATAAAAAGGAGAAAAATTTGCATAATTTAGATCAGTCAAACAAAATTTGTTATAAATAACAGCATATAATAAACAAAATTTATTTCTTAAACATAATTTTTTAGAAAATTTCTAATTTTCTAATTTCAAATATTATTTTATTATAATTCATGAAAAAATACCTGCATTCGATTTGTCAAACAATATTTTTTAAAGAAAAAGAACAAAAGCATAAACAAAATCTAACTTCAAAGTGTGGACAGACAGAATGAAATAATGAAATACGAAGATTATTATAGAATTAATAATAATGATTTTATTAATTTAACATCTTTAATTGTTATAAAATAGAGCTGTGCAAAATAATTCGAACCGAACTGTTCGAATTTTTTTGCCTAGTTCGAATGTCGAAAATTCGACATTCGAGTTAGCTTAGTTCGAATGTCGGTTTTTCGACATTCGAACTAGCCCAGTTCGGATGTCGAATATTCGACATTCGACATTTCGGCGCCCCAAAACCGAACAAAACTCGGTTCGGTTCGAATTTTGCATAGCTCTATTATAAAACATGAAGAAATCGATCACTCCAAGTCTTCGACATCTTTATGTTTTACAGTTTTATGCAAACATTTAAATTATAATTGAAAAATAAATTTAAATCCGTGAAAAAATGGGACACTAACTCTTTTGGGTCTAGAAACCCAGGACCCATCAATTGCCGGTTTATTGCTCTTCCACTGAGCTACAAAGGTCCACATCCAACAAATTTTCATATTTTTTATCGACTCAATAGTTAAGATGGTTCGCATTCTTCTGCTTCATGTTATTTAAATTTTAATTTATAGTTTGAAGTAAAATGTTCTCTTATTTGACTCTTTACTGGTTATGTATTTTTGTCAGTAACTGAGGGACTGGATGCTATAAGGTGTTAAGCTGCATATTAAGTAAATGGCGCGTAACATCTTATAGCATCCAGGCCCTCAATTGGTCCGTAATTTTTTCATTTTTTATCCGTAGAGTCCGTATACTTTTAAATACTTCCTCTGGTTCGAGCTCTGTAATATAAATTTTGAACAAAAACATAAGTGTTATAAGTTAAAAAATTTTGTGTTTCAGATGAGCAGCTCCGGGGAGTATCGGGCATTAAGTAAAATCCACACCTCGTCAGTATTCATCAACTTCCGAATCATGAGATTGTTAATTGTAAGCCAGATGATTAGTTCATCAGTGACTTAAATTGATAATATCGAGAGGAGATCTCGATATCTCCAGAATAAAATTAATCAAAGGAAATGTCAAGCAGTTCCGAGCCGGATGTCTCAGTAACAAGCATGACATTGTCAGAAATGTTGACAAGCTCAGATCCACGGGAAAACAGCACAAATGACACATTATCCCTGGAGGAACCAGATCTGCCAATAGCCATATTGAAAGGATGTATCCTTGGTTCGATAATCCTCTCGGCCGTTTTCGGCAATCTTCTCGTAATGGTGTCCGTAATGAGGCATCGAAAATTGCGAATAATCACAAACTATTTCGTCGTCTCATTGGCCCTAGCTGACATGCTCGTAGCAATGTTCGCAATGACATTTAACGCCAGTGTGCAAGTGACTGGTCACTGGTTATTTGGATATTTCATGTGCGACGTTTGGAATTCATTGGACGTTTACTTTAGCACGAGCTCGATACTTCATTTGATGTGCATCTCAGTCGATCGTTATTACGCCATTGTCAAACCACTCAAGTATCCGATAAATATGACAAAAAAAGTGGTAGCCTACATGCTATTGGCATGTTGGGTATCACCGGCCGTCATATCGTTCGTGCCAATATTCAACGAATGGTACACGACCTCGAAAAATAGCGCGTTCCGTCACGATCATCCTGACGTGTGTGAATTCAAAGTCAATAAAGGATACGCAATTCTTTCATCGAGCATATCCTTTTGGATACCGTGCACAATTATGTCATTGACATATTTGGCGATATTTAAGGAGGCGAATAAGCAGGAGAAACAAATGCACAGTCGCTTGGGCACGGCAATGTTATTGAGCCATCGGCCGAGCAAGGATATGAATAATATTAATGGAGAACTTAATAGTGGGGGTTCGTCGAAAACATTAACGCTCAACGAAATTAGCACAGATCATCTTCATACACCGACTAAAGATAAGAATATCATGAAAATGAAGAGGGAGCACAAAGCAGCTAGAACATTGGGAATTATAATGGGAACATTTATTCTATGTTGGCTGCCATTTTTCTTATGGTACGTCAGTACAAGTTTGTGCGGTGACGATTGCATCACACCGGATGTTGTCATTGCGTTATTATTCTGGATTGGGTACACGAACTCTGCACTCAATCCATTAATTTACGCGTACTTCAATCGAGATTTCCGGGAGGCCTTCCGGAATACATTGCAATGCGCTTTTTGTTCATTATGCCGAAATGAACCTTCCGACTTGGATGCTCTTGATTTTCGACGGCCCTCGCTAAGGTACGATTTGGTCTGACACGCTCACATAGGTATGCATGATTTTATTTTATGTTTCACATTTCTTTTCTTTTCTTAGAAAAAAACTTTTTTTTATTTTAGCTTTTTCTTAGATGTTCAGTTTAATTATTATTTTTCGTTAAATCTATCAATGTGTAGCTGTTGCATGAAAAAACTCTAAATTAAAGAATTTACTAATAGATGTCGTGGCTGGTAAAATTATTTACTTACCTAATACCACGTATTAATTCTGGAATGTGAATGGAACATTTTGTTCTATTGTTGTTGATACGTCGGAAACGTAACATTCATATAAATTTTTAAGAATATTAAATGATAATATTCTTTAATTACTTATTTTCGTGTCTAGACTTACGTCTACTAACTCAGGAACGATTCAAATTGATTTTTGGTTATTATTTATTTATACTCTTGTCCCTTCATAATTTTTGGGTTAGGGTTTCTGTAAATTTTACATAATTATGTGTTGTAAATAAATTAACAATATTCAGATTAAAGAAAATTATTAACACTTAATTTTAAACAACAATTATAAAATTTATAAAATAATTAATTTTTGAGAATTTAGAATTTGGATATAGACAGATACCTTCAGATTTGAATAGACGCATACTATTTGCTAGAAGTCTGAAATGATTTGAATGTAAGAGTGCATCGGCGTCTGAGTGATTTAGATTGTTGCGCAAGATTGCGAAAAGGTGTCTTCTTATTTATAGAAGGTATCGGAAGCATATCTTTAGGTGCAATTTTCTATTATTCTATCTTTAATTTTTATAACTGTTGATTTTTGAGCTTTGGATTATACGAGTTTCGAAAAGTGTTTCAAATCTAGGGAAAACCCTATTATTTAGGGTTCAAAGTAAGAAAACGTGACAGAGTATGAGAAACCAAACCTTATTTATAGAATAAGAGATATTTAATGTTCAGAAAAGTTTCGCGCTAAACATTTATTTAATCGGGACATTTAAATCTTTACACAACTTTCAATAAACATTGCAATTACATATTCCGAACATTGCAAGTAAATATTTAATAAATTTTTAGAAAAGTTTCGGTGCTGTGGGGGATGTTTTGTACAGAATCGTTAATCGGGAGTACAATCGCAAATAGAAAACTGTATTGGAGAATGATAAAGTCTATCTTTGTTTTTTTCTATTTTTACTTTCGATCAGGGCGGGGTCTTTTCCTACTTTTGCCGCAAATCGCTAAGGGTGGTTCTACAACAACTAACCATTGGATTAACTTGGTACTCGCTTGAAAATAAAGATGTTAGGACAATCCAATCGTCATGTGGAACCTCCTTAATGGGAGAACTTAGCTTCACCACTCAGCCTCGCGTGACCTAACTTCTTTGGAGGTTTAATAAAATACTCTTCCAAGAAGTGATCATTGAGTTTTGTATTTGAACTTACAGTAGAGGTAAGAGTAATTTAGACATGTTGGACAACAGAAATAAACGTTTATTAAACATGAAAAAGAAAAGACACTTTTAAAGTGAAAAACCATGGCTTAACTTTGCAAACCAATCATGGATTTAGCTAAAACATCGGGCCAGCTCTGGGTCCGCAGGTTGACACAACTGAGCGGATCGTAGTTTAATAGAATTAAAATTTTTGTTGGACAAACTCTAGACTATTGTTGGAGCAATGCTTCACGGAAAAAAATTTCTTATAGAAAACACAAACTTTTTTTGTAAATTATACAAATATGTTAAGTTGTGCTTTATGCAGTCGAGTTTTGTGTTTCCAACAAGCTGGTTTGGGTGTACCACAAACCAATCTGTAATAACACCAAGAAATCCACGCATGCGCAAAAAAATTCAAGTGAACGTCTGCTTGTCGTCTGCTGCGTGACTGTTTAAGCTGTTGAATCATAAACTGAAGTTTGTGACAAGACTCATTCTGGTTTGTGTATTTCCCAAACTCAGCCGTTTGTGGATACTACAACCGCCGTTCATAGATGGCACAGGAAATCTTGTAATTTTCACAGGAAATTTTTTTCCGTGTTGGCATAACACCCGGAAAGTAGTCTACGATATTAAAAATTTTTGGTTGGACAAAGTATTTTATTACAAAAAAATCGCACAAATCCAAGACTTTCTCATTTTTGATGAGAATGTAAAAATTTCAAGTAATAAATATTTTTTACTTTAAAAAAATCTCTGAAAAGAACCTCAAATTCAGTGGAAACTTCCTTTAAATATCTTTAAATCTTTGTTTGGATAATCTCTGGGCCATGGTTGTCCCGACGAAACAATATCCAACTTTCACTGGACTACTAATCACGACCAGCGCCCAACTTAAGGTCGAGTTTTCCGGCCATAATATGGCTAGCTCCCAAAAATAATTTTCACATGGGAAGTATACCAAGTTTCAAGAAAATTTGTCGAAAAGATTTTGCTGGACGTTTTTGGTCATCAGATTGAATTTTTCTCAAACAGTTAAGGGGTTAAAAAGCGTTGCAGATTAAATTAACAACAAAAAGGATTAAAATAATCCATTTTAGTGTTATTTTTTACTATTCCTGAAATTTTACTTTCAATCAAAACCAGGTAAACAATTACTAAGTCACTAACTTACTAACTAATTAGCTAACTTACTTTATTTAGTTAATAACTAACTAACTAGTTAACCTAGTTACGAACTAAGGTTAGTTAGTAACTAAGTTAGTAATATAATAAGTTAGTTAGATATTAACTAAATTAAGTAAGTTAGCTTATTAGTTAGTAAGTTAATTAGAAATTAACTTTGTAAGTTAGTTAGTAAATTAAATAATAAGTTAGTTAGTAAGTTAATTAGTAATTAAGTTTGTAAGTTACTTAGAAAGTTAGTTAGTAAGTTAGTTAATAAGTTAGTTAATATGTTAGTTAATAAGTTAGTTAGTTAGTAAGTTAGTTAATAAGCGAATTAGTAATTAAGTTAGTAAGTTAGTTACTAAGTTAGATACTTACAATTTCGGTCAAACGTGACCGAAAGGATTAAAATCTTCAATTTTGGTGTTAGTTTTTACTGTGACTGAAATTTTACTTCAAATCAAAACCAAGTCAACGATTACTAACTAATTAACTTAGTCCTGAACTAACTAACTTAATTACTAACTAAGTTACTAACATACTAACTAACTTTCTAACTAACTTACTAACTAACTTTCTAACTAACTAACTAACTAACTTACTAACTAACTAACTAACTAACTTACTAACTAACTTACTAACGAACTAGCTAACTAACTTGCAAACTTAATTACTAATTAATTTATTAACTTACTAATTAACTTACATACTACTTTTTACGTAGTATCTTAAGTAGTTACTAACTAATTAACTTACTAACTAAGTTAGTTACTTACCACCTTAATAAGTTAGTTAGTAACTAAGTTAGTAATTTAATTAGTTAGTTACTTAGTCAGTTAGTAAGTTAGTTAGTAAGTTAATTTAATTAAGTTGTTAAGAATTAAGTTTGTAAGTAAGTTAGAAAGTTAGTAAGTTAGTAAGTTAGTAAGTTAGTAAGTTAGTTAGTTAATTAGTTAATTAGTTAGTAACAATGTTAAATATCTAAGTTAGTAACTAAATTAAGTAATTAAGTTAGTAAGTTAATTAGTAAATTAGTTAGAAGGTTAATTAGTAATTAAGTTTGTAAGTTAATTAGAAAGTAACTTAGTAAGTTAGTCAGCTACTTAGTTAGTAAGTTAATAGGCTACTCAGTTAGTAAGTTAATTAGTAATCAAGTTTGTAAGTTAATTAGAAAGTTAGTTAGTAAGTTAGTAAGCTACTTAGTTAGTAAGTAATAAGGTTAGTAAGTTAGTAGGCTACTTAGTTAGTAAGTTAATTAGTAATCGAGTTTGTAAGTTGGTTAGAAAGGTAGTAAGTTAGTAAGTAAGTTTGTCATTTAGTATAGTCATTTAGTATAGTCATTTAGAAGTATAGTAAATTAATTAGTTAGTTAGTAATCTACTAAGTAAGTTAGAAAGTTAGTTAATTAGCTCGTTAGTTAGTAAGTTAGTTACTAACTAACTATTTTGACAAATCGCTGACTTGGTGTTTGATTTAAAGTAAAATTTCATTTATAGTAAAAAATAAAACCAAAATGGATTATTTTAATCCTTTCTGGTGTTAATTTAATGCCAGAAGAATTAAACTGTAGTAGGTTAATTTAATCCATTATACTATACTACAGAAGGATCTTATCACTCTAAATAAATGAGGGGCTGGATCTTAAAACAACACATACAATTTCAACAGCGGTATTCGTTCGCTTTTTTTCAAAAACTGTTATAAACATAAAAAAAATCATAAGAAGAAAAAAGATGCGCAAAGAAATTTCCTATAAGATAGTGAAAAACTTTATTGAAAAATAGTACATTGTACAACTAGTGGCGAAAGTGTGATTTTTCGAGAGTGAAGTTCACTCGAGAAGAATTTTTCTTTCACCACGTGTTGTGCACTACGTTTTCTCCAACGCCTTGCGAGGAAAGGTTTCTTCGTGAGTTTCGTATAATTTTAATTTAACGTGTGCTTATGTTTAATATAATAAAAGACGAATTTAAATTTATTGAAAGTTATTTAATGTTTATACTTTATAATAAAAAGAATTAACGTAATTTTAATATTAGGCTTCAGTTAAAACAAGTTGTCATAAACTTGTATAATTATATTAAAATATTTAAAAATATTTCCGGGCAATGTTTCCACAGGGCGGACATAATAAATATTTAGATAATATTTGAGGAAAATGTTAGCAATATTACCGTGGGAAATTATCACAATATTAAGCTCAAACGTTGTGCTATTTAGGTAGATTTTTTTTGTACCAGAGTGACGAAAAAGTAAAAAAAAATTTCGAAAATAGAAATTTTATTTTTTTCACAAGTTCACTGTCCCTATTGAAAAAGAAATAGTTCTATATTGCCGTACCTAGATGACCCTGAACTTTTCTTGGAATATACACATGTAATATTTAAAAAACTTTAAAATAGATTTGCATTCAATTGAAACATCAAAGTTCAAAATCTAAAAATACAGTATCACGACATTTGTCAATTGCTTTCAATTAGTAAATAATTAATCAATTCTTGTTATTTAGCGTAAATTGACATTAATTGTTGAAAATAAATTATTAATTTTCAAGAACACTAGATCTCGTTAATTGACAATTGTATTACAATATAAATAGAATATTGAATATTTTTGGAATTAAAATTAATCCATCCTCTTGATTGATTTTCTAGCTTTGTATATATACAAAGCTAAATATACAAAGCTATATACAAAGCTTTGTATATATACAAAAAAATACATATATTAAATGGAATTTTAGTATTCAAATTATTGCAAATTTATTAATTCATTAGAAAAAAGTTATCAAATAATTTTATTTTAGTTTGAATATATTTTCTGCAATTTAATTATCACCGAACAAATTTTACTTTTCTATCAGTGATTGATAATTTTCGTCTGAGAAAAATTTTTAAAATTCTTTTTTTCCTTTCAGGTACGACGATCGAACTAAGAGCATATACTCCGAGACCTACATTAAACACATCGACCGTCGAAGATCTAGTGAATTTGGAAGCAGTCTCTGAGACGAAACCAAATTTAGATTTTAAGTAATCTCAAAGAAAATAAAAATCCCCCTTACCCCTCATCATTCTAATAATCCAATTTAAATCCACTTCTTTCATCTAACCAACTCTCGTTCCCCATCGTCCCCGTCCTTATGCATCCCAATCACATCGAGAAGCGGAAAAAAATCTCCCGATACACTCGTAATAATTGCCAAAATAAATAATCGCGATGTTTGCGCATTAGTTTATAATCGTATATTGCCAAAGTTAGCTTTTAAGTGAGCTTTAATAGCCAATGACGCGTTTCACGAAGAAATTAAAAAAAAAATGTTATGAATTCAAAGAAGCAAGGTAAAAAGAGGGCTTTGATAATAATTTCAAATATAAATTGCGAATCTCCTTCAATTTTTGAAAGCCCTTCACGAAATGAAATCTTGCAAAAAAAAAAACGGCGCATAATTACGCGTAATGCTCAACGATTTTTATTTTCCCATTTTTTGCCAATTTATTCTTTCATTATAGAGATTATGTCTTGTATTTTTCATGGGAAAAATAAATTTTCTTAATTCTATGCTTTTTGCGTTCATTAAAAAGAATTATTTTTTAATTTATTATTTATGATTTGTACTAAAAATAATTTTTTTTGAATTAATTAAAAATATATTAAAATTAATTAAAAGTATATTTAAATTGAATAAAAACTCGTTTTGAAATTAATAATTAAAGTTAATGAATATAAATTTATGATTAATATTTATATTATTTAATATTAATTGATGAGTTATTAACAAATTGAAATTTTGAAAAATATGCAACTAATTTTTAAATTTTCAATTCTACAATAAAGCGGATTAAAAATACTATTATAAAACGTTCAAAATGTAAAATACTTCAGTCTTCCGATTTCCTTGCAGTAAGATTAACAATTTGCATTTTAAAAAGCAAGAAAGCCTGTAATATATTTTAATCAAGTATTTTATTTTTTTTCTCAATTTTGTTGACTTTGCTGTTTTTCATCAAGTTTTGTCTCATTAAAGTGAAAAATTAATTAAATTATTTGTCTTAAAACATTAAAACTAATTCTACTAAAATCTGAATTAGTAAAAACTTTTAAATGTATTATTTAAAAAATAATAAGTTTCTTCACAAAAATAATTTTTTTTCCAATTTAAGCTGAACTAAATTAATGTTTATTTATATCGAGGGTTAAATTTATATGAAACTAAATAATTCATAAGGCAGTAAATATTTGATATCTAATTAAATATTCTTTGGAGAGTTAAAAATATTATTTTTATTCATGTTTTATTATTTAAAATTTTTCACTAATTCAAAGTAACAAAAGAAGCGCCCAATTTTTAAATAAATTTTAAAGTACATGTAAAATAAAAATTTTCTTTTAAAAGTTTTCTTATTGCACGTTTTCATACATTATATTTGAGTTAGTTTATAGTTAGAGGCTATGTTTTGAAATTCCTCAAAATTTTGTTTGTTGAATGATCGATGATACGTCAAGCGTTCAATTGCGCTTGACATCGATTGAGATCGATGGCCTAAGACTATACGTTTTCGTGAAAGCACCATCGGAAATGCTTTGTTTGCACTGCTTTCAAAAAGAAGAAAAAAAAGAAAAGAAAAACAAATACTGAAACATTTTTTATATCAATCAATCAAACAAACAAACAAAAAGATGATAAAATAACTTGTTAAATTATTTTTTCAATTCGAAAGTGCGAACTAAGATACAATAATAATAAATATTAATAATTAATATTAATAATAATCGCGTAATGTGTCGCACGTGTTATATGAAATGCTCAACAGTGATATTATAAAAAGAGGTTGAGGGGAAAAAAATCAAAAAAGCGACAAACGATATCAGAATCAAATTCTATCACGTCTGTATTTAAATAAATAATTTACATAAATATATATATATATTTATGTATGTATGTATGATTCCATAATGAATTGAGATCTTCGAATTTTTAGGTATTTTCCCTTTGAAATTTTTATTTTTTTGTGCTGTGAATGGAAAATACTCGCGCGATGTATGAGAGAGAAAAAAAATGTTAGTTATAAAAAAACAATGTAATTTCACGCCAGAATTTTAAATGCGAAAAAAAAATTACGAATAGCGAAAGGCTTTATGAGAGAACTGTAAAAATTTCTATAGTCTGCCTATAAAAATCGAAAAAAAGAGAGAAGAATAAAATTTCCCCAGGATATTATATACGTAATATCCCTTATCAAAACGCTCGTAATCGTGATTTACTATTGGCTCATTTTAAATTACTATGCGATATATGTAAAACTCATTATTCACTATCTTCACATAATGGAAAATTTTTTACAAAAAAATATATAATAAGTTTTCCTTTTTATCGAAGAAAAATAATTTTAAATAATTGAGAAATTGTGATTAAAAAAATATATTTGTTTTGAAAATAATAATTTTAAAGTTTAGATATGTGAAAAAGAATTTATTATTAATTATTTAAAATTTTAACAGGAGTTTAAATTTTGTTGAAAAGAGATAAAAAATTTATTTCTATAAATAAATAAAAAATATTTGTTAATATATATGACATTTTTGGAACTCTAAATGATTTATTTGTTTTTTACTTAAAAAGTTTATTGAGGACAAGAAAGAAAGCAAATAAATAAAGAGAACATTGCGTGAAGGATAAGACTCAGGTTTGAAAAATCCCCACTTAATATTCGGGGGAAAAATTGTGTTCATAATTGTAAAATAAAGTTTACTTTAAAATGTTGAAATACAAAAAGTTAACGAATTTGTTACAAATATCGATAAAGATTGTTTTTGTAAATTCGCTAAACGTTTTGGTAATATTTGTTATATGTCTCGAGAGAGACGAAATGATGTTTTTGAATTCATGATTTCGACCGAGTACTTTTTTCTCTTTTTAAACCAAATTCATAATTTCTTTTTGCTCTTCTAAACTTTTTTATTTTATTATTTAAGTAAATTAATTTATTTATTATTTTATTATTGAATTTATAATTATACTAGCAGCAATTCGCAAGCTAAAGCGCGCTTCTAACTTTTTATGTATGTTTTTTTAAAATAAAATTATCAATTTAAAAAAATAGAATTTAAAAATATTTAATTCAAATTTTTTTTATAAAAATAAAATATGAATTCGAATAAAGATTATTACTAAATTATAACCACAATAATCATATATTCTGAAATAGATATTTAATTTTTATTAAAAGTACTGGAAAAAATTAAATTTTTAGAATTCATAAGAATATTCTGAATTTTGGCATCAATTTTTTCTATTTCTGACAATAATTTCTTTTTAAATAACTTAATTCTTGAACAACTATCATAAAATTTTTAGAAAATTATTAGAAATTATTTAATAAATAATTTTACTTAAACATTTCAAAATTAATTCAAATTTAAAAAAGTTGCGTTTACAATTTTCATATTAATCAATTTTTCAAAAGGTTTTAATTTGAAGTTTTATAAAACTTCAATTTTTAATCAATTTACATAATTAGAAATTTTAAAAAACTTAAATTTTTGCAAAATGTTAATAATTCAAATTCTTCTTGAAATTAGTTAAATTTTTCAATATATATTTAATTAATTTTATTAAAAATGGTGGATTTATAGAAAAATTTTAGTTAAAAAGATTTAAAAAAATTGAATTTTGGAAAAGTTACAAATAATTAATAATTGCAAAAATTCAATTATTTTCAAAAGTAATCAAATTCTTCCTACAAAGTTCGATTATGTTCAAAATTAAAAAAAATTCTCGTCAAAATCACAATTATCTTTCTAAATAACAATATTCTTCTCTAAAATTCAATTATTTTCAAAAAATTTCCTCATTTCAATGATTTCAATATCTACTATTTTAATAAATTTTCCAAAAAAATTCAATTATTTAAAAAAATTTTAATAAAATTGTACGAAAACATTTAATTATTTTTATAAATAATAAAAATTTCACAGAAATTCAATTATGAACAAATTTTTTATAAATTTTTTCGCAATTCCACGAAAAATGTAATAATTCTTAAAAATATGATTAAAATTCGTCAAAAGAATTTATTTATTTTACAATTTTTTCCCACATAAATTTAATTTTCGACCAAGTGATAAATTCTATTTCATATATATTTTAAAATTTGTTGATAAAATCCTTTATAAGAATTGAATTTCAAAAAACATTCAATTATTTAATAAATAAACTTTTGTATTTAAATAATTGAATAATATTGAAAAGGTTTCAAATTAAAATATTTGAAAATTTGAATTTTCTATAAAACTCTCAAAAAACTTTTTCAAAAATTATTAAAAATAGTTGATTTAGAGAAGAAGTTAAAAATTCTAGAAAATTATAATTGAATTGAAATGATGAAAATAATTTTGAAGAATAAAGTTACAGTAACAATATTCTTAATTAATTATAATAATATAAAATAATGATAATAATTTTTTAAGCTGTTTAATTCCAAAAAGGTTTGAATTCGAATTTTTTGAAAATCTTAATTCCCGTGGAAAAATAATAATAATTAAATATTTATTTAAAAAAGGAGTTATTGATGTTTTCGAATAATTTCACAATTAAAGAAATTCGTAATTAAATAAATGTAACAGAACATTTTTTTTAATAAAATTTTTTCTTGCATTTTCTAAAAGTTTAAAAATTTTCAATTTCGTTTTTAATTAAATGTTTCAATTCACAAATTGAATTTATAAAAATTTTTTCCTTTTATTTTTAACAAGAAATAAATAAAAGGCAAATAAATTATAAAGAAATTCGAAATTTAAAAGAGCAAAATAGAAAAGAATTTAATTAAGAAAATCGAAATCGTGTTTCGCGCATTGTTTCGTTATTTACTCGATTGGCTTTCGGTATTAAATTAGAGAATCTTATTTTGGCGAATGGTGCTGAAGAAAGGGTGCAAGAATTTCTATTTGTTAATGGACATTTATTAACTGAACGCCGGATCTCTTCCCACGACATTCGGCTGAGGGAGTTAATTCCACTTTCGTCCCTGATTTCATTCTATATATATAAGAAGAAAGTAAAATCACAGGAAAAAAATTCAAATGAGTGTAAAAAAATGGAACAAAGTACACAAAAATAAAAAAAAAACCACTCCCTCGGTCTTTTCAGATTAATTAATTTTTTTTCTGTGAATATTAATTAGAAAACTGTCTAGAAATATAGAAAGTATGAATGTCTGTAAATATTATAAATAAAGTGAATAAAAAAATATATATATATATGTATAAAATATCAATGACATATTTTTACGTATTTCTTTTTGTACATAGCGCATGTTAAATGAGTT